GGAGCCCTCCAGCGGGGTGCTGCCACCACTAACAGGGCTTCCATCTGCACCTGGTCTTCTTTCCATTGGTTCGCGGGCTCTGGCCGCTTGATTGACTGAGCCGCGATGACGTCACTCCCACGCATGCGAGCAGGAGTCTCGGCAGCGGCACACAGCTCTAAAGGAACGGCACGGTATACTGTTTCTTCAGAGCGCATGCGCTGGTGACGTTCTCAGCTGCCGCTAACTAGAATATCTCCGAAACGGTGCATGTTTAGGAGATATTCCCTTCTACTTACAGGTAAGCTTTGTTAGAAGCTTTCCTGTAGGTACAAGTGCCCAGTGTAGGTTTACTTTCCACTTTCACAGCCACCAATGAAATTTAAACTAATCTTTAAAATTTGAGAGGGACTGGAGATTTTAGATCATTTGCATTTTACCTGAGAGAATTGATGTCATCCAGCCTCTATTCAATGAGCTGGTCAAAGCTGGGCCTCAGGTACTATTAATGCTGTTGGGTTCAATCATGTTTGTAACCACTTTAACCCTAGCAGTGATGGAGGCCCCACTCCAGGGGTAGACTTTGTCAGATTCTTGGAGCTGAGTGTTGCACCAAAAGCTGCTTATCTCATTTCTAGAAGTGCTGGCCTGTTTATTTAAAAAAAAAAAAAAAAAAATATCATACTGCCAATAAAAGATGAACCAAGGGGGGCCCCACACCATGATCTCTTTTCATTTTCATGGCAATGAAGCAAACCATAGCCTGTGCATGGAAATTGCCAACCCTCAGTTTCAAGGAAGCCAAATCTACAATACAGGGCATCTTCATCAATGAAATATTAACCACGGTACTGGAAGTCAAACATAATCAATTCCTTTCAGTATGGCAACCCTGGCCTGATTACCAGCCAGTCTCTCATTTTACCACACGGTTGACCCAACACTGATTGGTTTACCACCCTGCTTCCCGCTTTTCAGGAATAAGTTGGATGTCCCCTGTGGCAAAGTCCTCTTATCCTCCTCTCCCCTCTGTCCTTCTCTTTGCCTTTTCTTCCTTTATTTCTGGGGGTCTCTTCCCCAACCACCCTTTCTCAGTTCCATGCTGATTTCTCTAAAAAAAACCCACAACCATGTGAGCTTCTTCTATGACTCATCAAGGCGGACATTTGATGTACAGGTTTTGGCACATTTGATCATTCACGATGCACATGATCTGTGGCTGCAAATCAAAGGACAGTATTATATGACCCCTTCATGTTTGCCTCACATTTATGTTTGTCTTAGGCAATCCTTTGTTTTGTGCACACACTCATGTTATGTATCAACCTGTGCACTTGCACTCACCGGCCACTTTATTAGGTCCGCCTTGCTAGCACTGGGTTGGACCCCCTTTTGTTTTCAGAACTGCCTTAATTATTTGTGTTGGAAACATTCCTCAGAGATTTTAGTTCATATTGACATGATGGTATCACACAGTTACTGCAGATTTGTCGGCTGCACATTGATGATCTCCCTTTCCACCACATCCCGTTCCACCACATCCCAAAGGTGCTTTATTGGATGGAGATCTGGTGACTCTGGAGGCCATTGGAGTCCAGTGATCTCATTGTCATGCCTAGAAACCAGTTGGAGATGATTTGAGCTTTGTGACATGGAGCATTATCCTGCTGGAAGGAGCCATCAGAAGATGGGGACACTGGAGTCATAGAGGGGTGGACATGGTCAGCAACAATACTTAGGTAAGCTGTGGTGTTTAAACGATGCTCAATTGGTACTAAGGGGCCCAAAGTGTGCCAAGAAAATCTCCCCCAAACCATGACACCACCACCACCACCAGCCTGAACTGTTGATACAAGGCAGGATGGATCCACCACACCATGACACCCCCACCACCAGCCTGAACCGTGGACACAAGGCAGGATGGATCCACCACACCATGACACCACCAGCCTGAACCATTGATACAAGGCAGGATGGATCCACCACACCATGACACCACCACCACCAGCCTGAACCGTTGATACAAGGCAGGATGGATCCACCACACCATGACACCACCACCAGCCTGAACCGTTGATACAAGGCAGGATGGATCCACCACACCATGACACCACCACCACCATGAACCGTTGATACAAGGCAGGATGGATCCATGCTTTTATGTTGTTTACGTCAAATTCTGACCCTACCATCTGAATGATGTAGCTGAAATCCAGGCTCATCAGACCAGGCAACGTTTTTCCAATCTTCTATTGTCCACTTTTGGTGAGCCTGTGCAAATTGTAGCCTCCGTTTCCTGTTCTTAGCTGACAGGAGTGGCACGGTGTGGTATTCTGCTGTTGTAGCTCATCTGCTTCAAGGTTGGATGAGTTGTGCGTTCAGAGATGGTATTCTGCATACCTTGGTTGTAACGAGTGGTTATTGGAGTTACTGTTGCCTTTCCATCATCTCAGACCAGTCTGCCCATTCTCCTCTGACCTCTGACCTCAACAAAGCATTTTCCTCCACATAATTGCCCCTCACTGGATATTTTCTCTTTTTCGGACCATTCTCTGTAAACCCTAGAAATGGTTGTGCATGAAAATCCCAGTAAATCAGCAGTTTTTTTAAATACTCAGACCAGCCTGTCTGGTACCAACAACCATGCCAAAGTCACTTAAATCCCCTTTCTTCCCCATTCTGATGCTCGGTTTGAACTTTAGCAAGTCGTCTTCAACACGTTTAGATGCCTAAATGCATTGAGTTACTGCCCTGTGATTGGCAGATTAGTAATATGTTTTATCAAGCAATTGAACAAGTGTACATAATAAAGTGGTCGGTGAGTGTATATTACCAGTTCACATCACTGCTTCCTTTACTATCAAGCACCAACCATCCCATTGCAAGATCTGTTTTGGGGTGAGTGTTGAGCACCAACCATCCCATTTCAAGATCTGTTTTGGGGTGAGTGTTGAGCACCAACCATCCCATTTCAAGATCTGTTTTGGGGTGAGTGTTGAGCACCAACCATCCCATTGCAAGATCTGTTTTGGGGTGAGTGTTGAGCACCAACCATCCCATTTCAAGATCTGTTTTGGGGTGAGTGTTGAGCACCAACCATCCCATTGCAAGATCTGTTTTGGGGTGAGTGTTGAGCACCAACCATCCCATTGCAAGATCTGTTTTGGGGTGAGTGTTGAGCACCAACCATCCCATTACAAGATCTGTTTTGGGGTGAGTGTTGAGCACCAACCATCCCATTACAATATCTGTTTTGGGGTGAGTGTTGAGCACCAACCATCCCATTACAAGATCTGTTTTGGGGTGAGTGTTGAGCACCAACCATCCCATTACAAGATCTGTTTTGGGGTGAGTGTTGAGCACCAACCATACCATTACAAGATCTGTTTTGGGGTGAGTGTTGAGGAGTGCTCAGTATAAAAAAGATCTGGAGTGAGTGTTGAAGAGCACCCTCACTCATCCCAAATATTTGATATCTACTGCCCATCCTCTTTTGAGACTCTCAGAGAGGTAGCACCCTAGGACCAGAACAAGCTCTGTTTCTATACGCTGTTTGCCAGCCCCTTTGGAGGAGGACTCACTTTGGGTCAAACCCAAGAGGACCATTATCTTCAAACAGTCCAGCGCACCAGCATTGTAAGCTCCGTGACATAGATGTCATAAAAAATAATTCCAATGGTGTGCAATTCATTTGACTACCAACGTGCCAAAAGAAACTTTACAGTTCTATGTATATTTTTTGTAATCCCCTTTCTTCCCCATTCTGATTTGAACTTCAGCAAGTCGTCTTCACCACGTCTAGATGCCTAAATACATTGAGTTGCTGCTGTGTGATTGGCTGATTAGCAATTGGTGTTACCAAGCAATTGAACAGGTGGACCTAATAAAGAGGCCGGTGAGTATACAGCCCCTGCAAGATTTTCTACACTTGGAGTTTATTTCTAATCTACCCTGTGCACATTGGTACTTACTGATGTATGTGATTTGATGCTTCAATAAAGTTTTTTTTGGTACCAGAAAAACGATCATGCTGCTTGAAGACTTTCCCTCCTCTGTAGGCATAGACAAAGAGCTACAGCATTTCCAATGCATAATAAAATAGGAATTTTCGGGGCGAATTCAGTCATTGCTGAAACTCCAAAGACATTTCTAGTTTTGAAGGTTAATTCTTCAAGCCCTGGAAAAGGCTTGGCAACTGCAGAAACGTACATGGCCAGGCTAGAACGTGACGACCCCACCATGGATTGGGAAAATTGCCGGCATTACTGATAACCAACTACTAAAATGATCAACTGTTTTCTATAAAAGCCATTTGATTGTGGTCTCCTCCATGTATCAAATTAGTTGGCAATCTCCACGCAACCCTCTGATTGCCGTTATTTCTGATTGCTTAATACCGCTAATGCACTGGAGTAACAAAGGACTTGATTTCCAGGGCAGTGACTGGAGTATTAATGCGTAGGCTGTAGAATTCCTACGGTCGCTTGTACCGAGATGCTGTTAAAATTCTTTCAGAGCGATCCTTTTAATTCCATCTTCACGCCCCGTGCACACGTGCCTGTGACTTTATTATCTGCCTGGCGCACGAGAAGTATTATTTCATGTTTGATAACTTATCTGAATATTTCTCTGCCTGGATGGGGAGACGTTTTTAAAGTGAAACGGTCATCATTCCTGCTTTCCTGCTCATGGATTCTTTACACCGATCAGCATTAACTTTGTGACCATTAAGGATATATTAGGCAGCAATTGAACATGTTTTCCCTGAAGTTGATTTGTTGAAAGTAGAAAAAATGGACAAGTGTAAGGATTTGAACAACTTTGTAATGTCAAGACGACTGGGTCAGAGCAACTCCAAAACTGCAGCTCTTGGGGGATGTTCCCTGTCTGCAGTGGCCAGGAAAGGAGAACCAGCCAAGCGGTGGCAGGGTCATGGGTGGCCAAGGCTCACTGATGGAGGTGGGGAGGGAAGGCTCATTGATAGAGGTGGGGGAACAAAGGCTCATTGATGGAGGTGGGGAATGAAGGATCATTGATGGAGATGGGATTGTAGGCTCATTGATGGAGATGGGGAATGAAGGCTCATTAATGGAGATGGGGATTGTAGGCTCATTGATGGAGGTGGGGGAACGAAGGCTCATTGATGGAGGTGAGGGAATGAAGGCTCATTGATGGAGGTGGGGAGGGAAGGCTCATTGATGGAGGTGTGGGGGTGAGGGGAGCTGTATTCCAATAGAAGAGCTACTGGCACTCAAATTGCTGAAAAAGTTAACGCTGATTCTGATAGAAAGGTGTTAGAAAACACAGATAATTTCAGTTTGTTGATGGAGTTGGAGAGGGAAGGCTCTTTGATGGAGGTGGGGGAATGAAGGCTCATTGATGGAGTTGGAGAGGGAAGGCTCACTGATGAAGTGGGAGAGGGAAGGCTCATTGATAGAGTGGGAGAGGGAAGGCTAATTGATTGAGGTCAGGGAACAAAGGCTCATTGATGGAGGTGGGGAGTGAAGACTCATTGATGGAGTTGGAGAGGGAAGGCACATTGATGGAGCTGGGGAGGGAAGGCTCATTGATGAAGCTGGAGAGGGAAGGCTCATTGATGGAGGTGGGGATGGAAGGCTCATTACTGAAGGTGGGGAATGAAAGCTCATTGATGGAGCTGGAGAGGGAAGGCACATTAATGGAGCTGGAGAGGGAAGGCTCATTGATGGAGGTGGGGAGGGAAGGCTCATTCATGGAAGTGGGGAACGAAAGCTCATTGATGGAGGTGGGGGAGGGAAAGTCAATTGATGGAGGACGAAGCTCTTTGACGTGATGGAGAGAACGAAAGGCTCATTGATGGAGGTGGGGAATGAAGGCTGGCCCATGTAGTCTGATCCAAGAGACCTATTGAACCTCAAATTGATGAAAAAATTAATGCTGGTTCTGATAGAAAGGTGTCAGAACACACAGAGCATTGTTTGTTGTGTATGGGGCTGTATAGCCGCAGACAGGTCAGGGTGCCCATACTGACCCATGTCCACAGCCAAAAGTGCCTACAAAGGGCACGTGAGCATCAGAACTGGACCACAGAGCAATGAAAGAAGATGGTCTGGTCTGATGAATGATGTTTTCTTTTACATCATCATGTGGATGGCCGGTGCATGTCGTCACGTACCTGGGGAAGAGATGGCACCAGGATACAGAATGGGAAGAAGACAAATTGGTGGAGGCAGTGCGATGCATTGGGCAATGTTCTGCTGGCAAAAATTGGCTCCTGTCATTTATGTTGATGTCACTTGACAAGTACCACCTACCTAAACATTGTTGGTGACCAAGTACACCCCTTTCACGGAAACGGTATCCTCTGATGGTGGTGGCTTTTTTCAGCAGGATAATGCAAACTTAGCACTCCAGATCTCACTCGTGACGCTAATAGCAGTGATGGTGCGCACTGGACAGGGATGTCCACTCTCCGGTCACCCTCACATTAAGAGGAAACTGTGTCCTGTACAACCTAAGAAAATGCAGCTCTTTTCCCCTCCTTTTGGCAATCTCCCTCTGCAGTTGAAAAGCTCCTGATTACTGTAGAGCAGACTTTCTCCACCTTTACTACACAGAGGAACCCTTGAAATAACTTTTTGGTCTCAGGGAACCTCTGCTAAAAGTGACTATATCTACAACTCATGATACATTAGTGTGATGGTCAGGGGGAAGAATGCTACTTACTCTGGTGGTCATTGGAAAGAATTACCCCTTTACAGATATCTAAAAATATCAATAGTGTCAATGGAAATGTATCTGATAGGCAGAAATTGTTCATTGCTCAAAGAAACCCAAGCAACCTCTGGAGGAACCCTAGTTTAGAAGCCCTGCAGTAGAGTCTCTCTCTTCTGGACTACAGTTCCCACAGTGCGGTGCTACCTGACTCAGTCTGTCAGGCCCCCCCTAATGGGATCTCTAGTGGTCCACAGCACGGGATTCCCCAGGACGCGGAATCTAAGTCCTAGTCTGCCTTTTCACCAGAGCCCCTGATGGTGGAGATGGAATTGGTGCAAGACTGGAACCAGGTCGCACCCCTGGGCGCACCCAGCTATGGTAGAGGGGTCCCGCTGAGGGTATGTGCCCGGGATGAGCCTGCTGTGAAGGGGCTGATGGGTCCAGGTCCGTGCGGGATGGATGGATGACCGCTAGGAGTGAGCGAGGTCAGACTAGCCGGGTCGGTAACAGTGGGGACAGGTGCGGTACCAAGCAGTAGGCAAAGAGTAGTCAGGTCACACGCCGGGTTCAGTAACAGAGGGTCCAAATAGCAGTAACTACAGGCAGAGGAGGAATGGTCAGGGACGAGCGGGGGTCAGAGCAGGAGAGGGTCAGCATAAGTCAGGACAGGCAGAGTTTGACAACAAGGAAACGTACTTTACAGGAACACAGGAACAGGAACAAGACCTTGCGGCAATGAGGACATTGCCTGGCCGGTTTAAATAGCGCACCCTGCACCATTATTGCACGAGTGCGCATGCGCAGCCGCAATTGCCGCCACGGACGACCAGGTCCTACTGCCCGCCCGCTGATGTACCTGGGCGATCCGCGCATGCGCGGATTCACGCGCTGCGGCGAAGACCGGGATCCCTGACACAGTCTCTTGAACTCCTTCTGCTCAGCAGCTCCCTCCTCTGGCTGATATAGCTGTTAGAACGTACAGCACCTCAAGGGCAGCAGCTACAGAGAGCAGCTGCAGCCAGTGTTTCTCTCACTCTTCATTCTTAGCTAAGTACCTGGCTAAATAGAGAGCTAGGAAGTGTGCAGCTGATTACTCCCAACCTAACTTAGACCCTGCCTACATACTAATCCTACCTACCTAGCCATCAAACAATCAAATTAAATACATTGAGGAAAAGGGAGGTGGGGTGTTTTTTTTCGCCTTGCCAACTCATTCCACCACCGGTCACCAGCTCCATCTTTCAGCCTTGCAAGCCCCATTAGAGATGTTCCATGTATCAATATTAGTACAAAGTCCCAATGGTAAAGGTGATGTAGGCCGCGTACGAAGAATGAATGGAAGTTTCTGTTCCGGGATGTATTGGACACAAAGCGACTTTCGGTCTACTCCAGAAACACAGCAATAACCGAGCAGACAAAGACTTCACCGGCGAGCCTCTGGAGCAGATTACACAAATCAAACCCTTCCGATTAATACTAAGTCAAAGACACGGCGGCTCCGGTGATCAATATCGGCGATGCGTTCGCTCCGGGCCGATCCGACGCATGGATTTCTTTATTAAGGTCTTGTAGCATTTTGTCTCCGGTAAAAAGTGAATGTCTTTACAATTGAATATTGCTTTCGTGTAGTTCGTAACCTCGCCGAGGCAAAAATAAAGTCTTTCGGGCTGGAAAAAAAATAATACAAGTTACGCGTTTCCAACCGCGCCAGGATGGAGCGGCGGGCACGATGTTTTTATTGGGAGTTTTATGGATCTTGGGTGGCGGCTGTAAGTTTCTATCTGTGAAAACGGCATCCAGTTATCTATGGGGGTGGCGGTGCTGAGGGCCGGTTATTACTTTTGTGATGCCCCAGGCAGCCTGTTTACTTGGCAAGTATCGGGGCAGAAAGACAACGAGCCGCAATCTTTTCATAATCCAGATTGATTGCGTCTCTGCGGCGGATTAGCCATTGCAGGATACTCCACAGATGGCACTGCTTAGGCATCGCCTACGATGATATTTATCTATGTAATTCTATTATATACTTGCTTGTAAGAGGAGAAGCTTGCAGTGCAAACCATTTATGGTCAGGAAATTGGATCCATCAGCAGACATATTTTTTTGAATTCCCCGCTTTTTTCAGCAGGAATGCGGGGCTAAGCAGTTTCAGCACCTCCAGCACTGAATGTATGTACTGGCAAGGGGTTTTGGGGTGTGCTGGAGGGTCTAGTGATGCTGACCACTGAAGGCATCTATTGTCACTGGGGGTTGTAATGTTGCAGAAATGGTCTATTGTTGCTGGAGGAATCTACTGTTGTGGAGGGGGGAGACCTATTCGGCTAGTGCTGCTGATAAGGAATCTATTGCTGTTGGTGGGGGTGTATTGCTGCTAGGGGGCATCTATTGTTGCTGGGGGGGGATCTATTGTTGCTGGGGAATAAGCTGTTGCTGGGGAAAGCTATTGTTACTGGGAAAGGTCTCTTGTTGCTGGAGAGGTCTATTCAGGGCTTTTTTTCTCAGAGGAAAGGTGGTGGAACTCCCCCACCCAAACCTGGCCACGCCCCCATCAAACCCTAGGACCACCCCTTTAGAGAACAGGAATGCAAGTAAAATTTGGGAGGGGCTATAAAAGTAAATGTATGGAATTAACACCCCCCCCCCCCCCACATTAGTAAGAATAGCGAGTAACACTGCCCCCCCCCACATTAGCAAGAAAAGCGAGAAAAATTGTATCGCCGCTCCTTACCTGATGCTGACGATCCGCGCTATGGTAGGATCGACGAGCAGAGGGCGTGATGACGTCAGCGCGCGCACCGCCGGGTGTACTAAGATACACCTTTCCTATGGGGGTGGCCGCGCGCCCCCGATGTTTACACGCTGGCGGTAGAGGGGGGGGGGGGTGAAGCGTGCATGTCCCCGCTCACCGGCTGTGAGCAGCGGCAGTGACAGGTGCCGGGCACGCGCAAGCATGACATAAACAAGCCGCGTCCGGCACCTGTCACTTTCGCTGCTCTGCATAGCTTGTCAGCTCTGCAGAGGCAGTCGGTGAGCGGGGACAAGAATAAAAAGGTGGCGGAACGCAGTACCGCCGCGTTCCGGCAGAAAGAAAGCCCTGGGTCTATTGTTGCTGGGGGTCCATTGTTTCTGGGGAATCTGTTGTTGCTGGTAATCATCTATTGTTGCTGTAGGGGTCTATTGTTGCTAGGGGAGGATCTATTGTTGCTGGAAATGATCTAATGTTGCTTTCACCCCCTGCCCTCCCCAGATCCATTATAGCCAGTGTCGGGACAAGGTCACGTAAAGTCCAGGGCGATCATACCAAACCGCACCCCCCCCAGATGTATAAGCAATATGTGTCAGCAAAAATCCCCTCCCCCCAAAAAATCAAGCATTCACCTGCATGCTTACCCCCTAAGTATAAATCCCCCAGTACAAATCTGCCCCCCTGCTGAAATCCCCCCAGCACAAATCCCCCCCCCCAGCTCAAATACTGTCTGTCCCCATATGCCCCCAGCACAAATATCTCCCACCCCAAAAAAATCTCCCACTTCTAACACATATCCTTTACCCTCAAAAATGTCCCTCCCAGCACAAATCCTCTCCCTCCCACTCCAACTTCCCCCCTCCAGCACAAATTCTCCTCCCCAAATTCCCCATCCTAGCACAAATCCCCCCCTCAAAAAAAAAATTCCCCTCCGCATCCTTACCATATCAACTTTTCTAGCACAACCCTGTCCCCAAATTCCCCCTCCTAGCACAAATCCTCTTCCCCCATCCCGTCTCCCAACACAAATCCCCCAATCACTGCTGTTAGCACACCTTCCCAAAATTTCCCCTCCTAGAACAATTCTTAGCCCCCCAAATTCCCTCTCCCAACACAAATGTCCTACCCGTAATCTCCTTGTGGCTCCCCCTCACCTCACATTGAACCACAGTGCTCAGGGCAGCCACCCCTCCTGCCCACCCCTTGTCTCGGCCCTGCACTCTCTCCCCCCTCCCCTCCGGGGATACTACTTCATATATCCCACAAGGCTGCAGAGGAGGGACTCAGTGGATGGTGGCTGGAACTGGTGCTTGTCTTTGGAGGCCATTTCCTGAACCTGGGTTGGCTTCTGATGACTGAGGAGGACCAAGATGTTGGCGCAGCCACCCGGGGTGCTGCTACTGATCAGCAGATGGCAGCAAGACAACACTAGATCCGTTGGGCAGGTGGGTTACTGAATCAAGCACTGTGGTA